ACGACACAGTTCATATCCGAACAGATAAACATGTCAGCAGAAGGCCTCATAAAACGGAAAACTGTTTTGTTTTTTTTTCATGCTCATTAAGGTGAGGTTAGAGACAGCAGTCTAAGCAGAGGAGCCAGACCTCCCCCTACAACTTATGCAGGGTAGCACAGGTCAGATCAGGCCAGTCGAGAGATGGAACCTTTGCAGCGTGTCCTGGGTACACGCTGGGTTTCCTCTCAGTAGGACCCAGACCAGCTGAGGTGACATCCTTGTCAGATGCCTGAAGTGCCTCAGCTGGTTTCTGTTGATGCGGAGAAGCAGCAGCTCTACTGAACTCCACCCCAGTGACTGAACTTCTCAACCCATCTCTAAGACCCCTGACAACATGGCCCCTGAGTTTACCGCGACCCACAAACGCCTCCACCGCAGTAAAGGGGCAATTCACAGAGACTCCAGTGTTATATGGTTGTCCTACATTTCTTACAGAAACACTGACCACTCTCTCACCTTGTCCACGTGTTCTTGCAGCTTCACCCTGAGCTCGTCTCTCTCTGCGGTCACAGATGTTACAGCAGAGAGCAGCTTCTCCGTCTCCTCTGCAAACCTCTGATCAGCAGTGCTCTGCTCGGACAGGAGCTCGGCTTTCTCAGCTCGCACACACCGAAGTTCTTCATTTAACTGGCTGATCTAAATAAATACATACAATTCTGTTTTTGTCATAGCTATACGAATCACAGTCTTCAAGACACTCACATGTGCAGTTGAATGATATCAGCTAAACTGTAAAACTGTATTATCGAATGATTTTAACTCTTTTTCTGTTGATGGGCTAATGGTTGCACATGTGCTCAGCTGTAATAAGAGCAGCTATCAGTGTCATACTTGTTCTTGAAGCTCTCTGCTAATCTCCTCCTCAGTGCTTCTGGAAGCTTCGCTGTCAGCAAGCTTCTCCTCCAAATCCTTGATCAGCTGCTGCACGTCGCTCAGTTTTCCTTCCAGAGCTCCTCGCTCCTGCTCACTTCCTTCAAGCTGAAGGAAAACATGACAACAGTTGTTTGGAAAGCCGTACGTATAAATGTTTTGTCTCTTCAGACATAACTGCACACAGTCTGGAGGACTATTAAACTTGATATCATTTTAAGCCCGATCCAGAGATTTTTATCCTGGATGACTAAGCCGACACTTCCCTCAGCCTCACTGAAAGGCTTTTCCTTTGACTCATTATTATATCATATATATTATAGCATGCCTGTACTTCCCAATGTTTCCACCAAGTACACCGAACAAGTACCTGTCCTCACATTTGTCTCAGCAGCTGCAGCAAATGAAGAGCCTAGTAGCTGCTTCACTTTCTATTTGAATAACCTCTGGTGCTAGTTATGACCCTCTGCAAACGTGCTCATGCTCCCCTCCCCCCCAACTGGATGATGTCAGATTGGCTTTAGAGGATATTTGGGCCTCACCTGCTTTACCAAGGCGTCCACTTTATCTGGGAGAGTCTGACATGCAGCCAGCTCATCTAGCTGAGCTCTCAAGGCCGTCTCCACTTGACGAGATGCCATCAACTCTTTATTTAGATTGGCAACAGTTCTCTCAAGCTCTATGCTGTCAATCAGATCTGGAAAAGGAGCAAATGTTACGAGGGGCAGGTTCGTATGATGGGCTACAGTCTATAAACGCAACACGTGGAAACCTACTTTTAGGCACATTGCCATCTAGCAGAGTGGTGAGCTTGGTGTTCTCATCAAATGCGACATTCAGCTCCTTCTGGAGATCGCTCTGCATCTTTCTGTAACGCGACTTCTCCGTCTCCAGCTGAAAACGCAGGCTCTTCACCTCCGCCTCCCTTTTCTCGTGGCTGGCAGTCAGAGTCACCTGGACGAGATCGTCAAGAAGCAGGAGATGCATTAATCGCTTACAGCTGCCATTGTTGGCTCACACTTCCTGGAATATTTTTAAAACGAGGATAGATGTGCTGCAAAAAATAATTTTTTGTCATTTTAGTGTTTGATTACGTACATTCGTCTCCTCCAAAGAAATGCTGCGACTGCGTAGGACAGCCCACTCCTTCCTTGTGTCTCTGCTCAGCAGCTCTGCATCATCCAGAGAGCGGCGAAGCTTCAGCACCTCCTGCACCAAGTCCTTACTGCCCTGAAACAAGAAAACACGAAACAGTTAGCTTGTGCCGTCGTTAGATTGCTGCTGCTTTCAGCACCCTGTCAGCGCTCAGATGGGACATGTTAGCCTGCTAAGACTGTAAGCAAGTGTAAGCAAGCACACTTTGCGTGAGAACAGCCTGGTTTATTCCAGGTTAATGACATAAACTGATATTAAGCACAAACACACACACACACACACACACACACACATCGGTAAGACTGCAGTGTTGGCCCATCTACTGCTCCAGACAGACGGATGCTCGGAGCATGAGGTGCTACTGGTTTCTAACATGTGACAGATGCACACTCTGCACAGTGTCACATCTACATGATGTTCCACGTCACGTGACTGAAATATTGGCCGTACCAGGTTCTCCATCTCATGTGCAAATTCTGTTTCCTTCTTCTTCAGCTGTTCAGTCAGAGTCTTGATTTCATTCTTTCAAAAGAAGAAACAAAAGCTTAAAGACAAATCAAATCAAAATGTTTCGGATCAATAAACTCTACACGTCCACTCATCTTACCTGGAGCTGCATGCGCTGGAGTTCAGAGGACTCAACAGCTTTCTTCAAGCTTACAATTTCATTTTCTAACTCTTTCTGCAAGTTTCCAGAAGCAAAGTGAACATAGTGAGATGAAAACATATTTGATAAACAGCTC